ATCGGGCCGTGAAAGGAGGATGCGTTCTAGTTTGATGGACTCAGATAACTGATTAGATTTGTATGAATCATAAGTTTGCTTGAGTGTAATGAGTGATGAAAAGTCATTACATCTGTAGAATTGCCTAGCATGCTTACGCAGTCGGTTTCGAATCTTTACGGGGATGAAGTCAGGCTGTTTAGGCCTCGTTTTCACAAGTCTTGCTGGAGCGATGAAGTCATGTGCAAATCCTAGGTTCTCGTAGAGTAAGTTGTTTGCCTCTATAGCCGAGCTGCATGTAAAGTATGGTCCCCAGTCTAGGGTGCGTAGGTATGGTTTCAGGTCATCCCACTGAGCGTGTCTGTAACCCCTGAGTAATACTTTGTTGGCACTTATTGTCGCACTCATGCTAGTGCAAATATTGAATGTACCTAACACTACTCTGTGGTCGCTACCAGGAAACTCTTTACCTACTCGAAGGGTAGTGGGGGTGATACCATTAGTGAAAACTAAATCTAAAATCTTAGATAGCCTGGTAGGATGCTGTACGTGTTGTTGCCAGTCTTTTGTTTCTATTATGTTAAAAAATTCATGATACCGTTTCGGTGAGGAAAGTGGTTGCCAGACTACTTCAGGCATATTAAAGTCCCCACATATAATTTTAGCCGTGTGAGGTAGTGAAGTGGCGTAAGCGAAAGTGCTAGCAAGTTTCATATCACCTTCAACAGCTGAACATGGGGGATGATAGATGCAACCTATAAGATAGGAAATGGAGTGAGACAGCCTTAGAATAGCCCAGACTGAGTCATTATCTGTGATGAGCTCTGGGTAGAAGCATTGTGTGGCCTTAATATCAGACCTGATATACATAGCGCATCCTCCTCCTCTGCCATGGTTTCTGTCACCTCTGAATACGTAATAGTTATCAATAGAAATATCTTTATCGCATATCTGAGGAGTGCACCATGTTTCAGTAATCATTATAAGAGACGGGTTGCATATTAAGGATAATGTCGTGAAGTCAAACATTTTGTTAAGTAAGGAGCGAGCATTGATGAGACAGAATGAGAGAGAGTTAGGGGTGACGATGAAATCGCATATATCTTTAAAAAAGTTTTCCTCAAGGTTTGTAGCATCTAGAGCAGATTGTTTGATGGGTGCTAACTCAGATGGTGGCAACGTACTGGCAGTGCTAGAAAAGTGCACTACACCAGTATCAGCACAGAGAGATGTGCTATCGTTGGTTACCCCGGCGGGTGAGAGGTGTTCATAATACCGTGACTGAAATGCATCGCCCTCCCCTCCGGTGATAAGTGGCTTGACAGTATGTGTGCTATTTGCGTCAATATTGAGGCTGAAATTTCGTGTTGGCTGAGAAAATTTAGATTGGATGAAGGGGAGGTAGGTATTTCTTGTGGATAGTATGCTGGAGTAAAGTTACGCGCATCGCAGTTATGATTAATATTTTGTGTGTTCAAGTTATTTTCGTAAATATTAGTCCATCGATTATCTTGGGTGGACTGTGTCCGGTGGTTGTCAGGGATGTGGTGAGTCAGAAGGCCGCTTTTAGGAAAGAAGCCTAACCCACTTGTTCCTTGTTGTAGGGGTCTCTGGATCAAACTTTTGTCTACATTAGCTATAGATAGGAGAGTTGTGTCGGGGTAGGTGCATGCCTGCCCGTAGGGTTTCAACTTATTTTTAGGGTGCCCAGACATATAGCGTCTGTTTTGTCTAACGGATGAAGATTTGCTCGATGTTGGATGAATTGGCGGGTTACCTCTCCTTTCATTGACGTTATATTTATGGTGGTATGAAGACTTATTCAGCTTCCCTGGGTTAATGGTGGGATTGGAGTCACTTAAGTTAGTGTTATTTGGTTTGCTGCTGAGTAACCTATCAGTGACGGGTTTGAGTGAAGGTATTCTGGATGGCAGGGTTATATTACTCCGTTTTGTGTGCACACTACTGTGAGTACTACTCGGAGAGGTTATACTGAATGCTACATTCTCAAGCTTAGCCTTTTGCGTAGTGGTATTAGCAGCTGATGGTGATGTGTCTAGCGAGCATACCTCTAAAGATGCATCTAAGTCTATGGCCATATTTGCTTCACTGTTGAGTTTACTAGGTAAAGCTTTATTATTTAAGGGTATTTCTTTTTCACGCGTGTCTGTAACATTAGGTATACTTAAATCTAAGGCGAGAGAGTCTTTTGTAGGACATTCTGCAGTTACGTATGTGTTTGCGACATTTGATACACTTGCGCGGCTACGTCTTTGACATGGAGTTAGGTCATGAGTAAGTTTAACGTTGCCAAAAGGTGTAGATGAACTAATTAGCTTGTTAGACGACTGGAATTTCCTAGCATCATTAGGACTACTGAATTTAAACAGCACAGGACAAGTATACTTTCCTGATTTTTTCCTGAGTCTGATTAGGTGGCAATCCGCTGATGGCATACCGCACGCTTGGAGACATGTCACTTTAATTTTGTCCAGAGGCGTCCGATCAGGCAGATTGTAAGCAAGAACATTGTACGAAGACAAGATTCGTTTAGTCACTTCATTGGCTATAAAGTCTAACATACGCTCAGCCTTCAGCAGACTTTCTGGATTACTATCATGAGTTGGGTTACATAGAAGCAGTAACGGCTTAATGGTGTTTATATTCTCATTTAATTCCTTCACAGAGTTTCCTAGAGAAATAAGGTCCAACTTATTTTGTTTAGCAGTTGCGTATACCTCTGATAACAAATCGGACACAATGACTTTGGGGACGTTGTTGAGGCTAGGTGGAACGTGTAGGGATGTACGTATCTTCTTAGCTGAGTGACCTAAACTACTCTTACGTATAGAAAGTACTCGTTTATTACGTTGAGTCATTGTTGAACACGGATCAGTATGGTTTGAAGTAGAAGCTGAGCTAAATCGAAAACAAGTATAAGGACAAATAATATATCGAGTGGATATATAGACTAAGAACTACTATAGGCACGGTATGGTTCTTATTGCTTATAGATAAACAATAAATCGACAAAAGTATTAAACCGTAAAATACAGATTATATAGAAACCAATTGTCCTAAAAAATTGATCCTGATTTATAAACCAAAAAATAATGAACTTCTCTATAGTTTTCTTTAGTGTGACGTTGTTCTTAGATTATAAAAAGGAGGATGAGCACTGCAAAAGAGTGGATCCAAACTTGATAACTGGCGGTGATATAACTGCGTATTTGGAAGCTAAGGTAGCAGCCAATATAAGTTAGAGTTGATGAGTGGTATAATATCCACTACAATATTCCAGAAATCAGTAAAAATATATCCACGTTATGGAGAGAGATTGTGACGTCCGATCAGAATCGCGCGCCGACCATGCACATGGTCCGGGGTTCGATCCCCTGCCGACGCATACCCGATATCTATGGTCGGCCTGCAAAATTTGGGCTACCGATATCCATGCTGAAAATTCCATACTTGTACCGAAAATACTGTGTGGCATCAAGCTGTAACCAAAATAAAAAAATAAAAAAAATAAAAATAAAGTTTTCTGATATAACCCTCCTTGAACATGTGAGCCTAAATTATGTTTGTGAAATGGGAATCTTATAGCAGTTTTATGTTTCCTCAAAATAAAGGCCATCTGAGAAACAGGTTCACCACAATATCGCACACTGTGCTCATATTACTGATGTTCTCTGTCTCAAAACCGGAAGTATTCTGTGCTCAATGTACGAAAACAGAAATCATTGCTGATATGATGGGATGATTGCTAGCGAATACAAATCCATTTGGGGGGAAAGAGCTTTGTTACATGGGCCAAATATACTATTACGATACTGTGAAATGCAAAAATATTCGTTTAAATTTTGAACCTAATGACTCCTTTACTCCATCACATTGTGTATATATCAGTATCAAGCTAAAAGTTCAGGAAATGTTGTAGCGTTTGCTGTGTAAATGAGGACTGATGGGAGGCGGCCAAAATTAAATAAAGTTAGTGGCTGAAGAAGTAGATTTAGTTGACGTTCTGGCCCCTAAATAATGGCATTGGGCGCCTTTTCACCCCTTCGTTTGACCCAGAACAGATTGCCAACCGATAGGAACAGTTTTTTTCTCAGTTAACCTGGCCGACTTTGAATGTTGTAAAACTGCATAAACCTTACGCGTTTTTCCTCAATAAATATATTCCATTCCTAATTGTCTTATCTGCTCACCTTACAATGTAACTAATTTCAGGTACATAAAGCGTGTAGATATTATGTACGTTAGAAAAATTTTTCAATGCAAAACTTTGTCCAGAAAGCACGTGGATAATGTAACTTGTTATTAAAGCATTATTGCAATTGTCAGCAACGCCACAGTTACAGGGTAAACGCAATAAAGCCACACAGACCATAAATTTATAGTGTACCAATTATTAACCCGATCATAATAATATATTACATCCAGGTATTCGCGTTCTACGAGTTGCTAGCGCAGTACACGGTCAATGGCGGACAACGTCGTACTAAGAAGCACAAGTGAAAACTTGAATATGTGTAATGTTAACGAAACCAGATCTCGAAAGACACTAGGCTAACGAAAAAGTGTATGGCAGCGCATCATATATATATATATATAAGGCAAGAGAAAACCAACGTTCAATAATACGACGGTGAATATTCCACAAGCGTATGTAAAATTAGTTTCCGTATAGGTATAATATGTGTAAGTGAATTAGTCCAGTTAGAGTCCTTATACGGGTAGCACACATTTATGGCAAACTGAAGCGAGAATAAAAGCCTCAATGTTAGAGTGGTTTTTAAATTTTTAATGTCAATGTTAGCGAAAACTGCCTACGTAACTAAGAATAACACATGGAAGATTTTTCGAAGCTATGAACTCAGTGAAGGAATTGTTACACGCAAGCCTTGCCTTCGTTTTCAAGATAATTATAGATAAACGAGAATATACATTCGCAAAACAAATGAATGGAAGTTTAGTTTTCAATGTTCACTTGATTGTAAACCCTGAAACTCTTGGGACGGAAGATGAAATATTGTGTGTGAAGTAAAATGTTTTGGAAAGTAATAGTAAGATGTGATACATATTTTAAAAGTTTTGACCATTCGAGGCCGAGATTCTATTGTTCACTGAAATCTGGCCTTGTTTAAGCAACTGGTTTAGGCGGACACTTTTAGCTGGCTCTAAGTGCTTGTACCATGCCGGTTAGTTGTACTATGTGGTTTTGGTCATCATCTGTGTTAACAGCATCTTACTCACTCAGTAGTTCTTAATTATGGTACGATTTTCCTTTTTAGCTCGCACGTGATCTTTTGCACCCATCTTTCCGGGAAGAAAAGCGAAAATGCAAGCTTAAACGGTTGGTCCCATCACCGAACTCCTTTTTCATGGATGTTAAGTGTTCTGGTGAGTTATACTAATAAATTTGACTGTGTAGGATGTCTTAAAATTCAGATAGTTTTTAGTCATGCTCAAACTCCAGTTGTTTGCCCTGGATGTGATCGGATATTGTGCCAACCCACGGGGGGTCGAGCACGACTAGCTGATGGTAATTTCTAAAAGTCTTCTTAACCTAACTTTTGCTCTTATAGGATGTAGCTATCGAAAGAAGACTCGGTAAACTTTTGTATTTTCTGATGGATTCAATAAACTTATGGAAATAACTGATTTGGTTTGCTCTATTTGGTCGGTGTTTTATCCATCACGATTTGTTCCACCCCTTAGCATTATTTTTGGTCTGACTGTCTCGTATGAGATAGTTGTGCGTTTCGAGGGGGTAATGCACTCATCTTAGAATAAGGTGTGAAGATTCGCAGGTATCTGTTTCTGTTATAGGAGTTTGAGCAGCTGATATTTCGTCAGTAGTAATAGTCAGGATATGTATTATAACTTATCATTGATGACTGTTGTCACTGCTTTTGTGTAGACTTCTAGACGTATTTACTCGATTGCGAAACTCTGAAGCTGTTTAGTTCTCACTTGTCTAACGGATTAGCTATGACTTTAAATGCATCACAAAGTAGCTACTAAGATTGGTTGTTTGCTGAAGCGACTTACATCGATAAGTGCTCGAGAAACTGAGTTTTCAGCTCAGAATCCTGATCATATTCATCGTACTTCTACTTGATATTCCATGAGTTGCAAATATACTAAAAGTAATCAGCAGTTACTACGGACGAAGTTTAACGAAATCGAATGACAAAGAGGAGCATAGTGAGAATGAGTTGGACCTGACAGTACATAGAGATTGGATCTGTTAGCCACATTGTGAATAGTTTTGGCTGATATCACTAATGACCTCCAGGTGTCGATTTTTAACGTGTTGGACAGTCTGGGTCTTATGTAACTTAAATCAGCAGTCAATGTTTTCTTGGATAGATGACACGTAATTACATGACCATTGCTAATTATTTCTCAAAGTGAACTCCATATTCGACTTGATAGTGTTAGCAAGGTTTTGTAGCCGGTGTTAGTCGTTTCGATTTGTAACTATGTTGTCATCCAATTTCTCTGGGAATCTAAATTTTACTCGTATTTTCTCCATTTAAATTTCTGAAAGTATTCTGGGATTGGTTTTAAAACTCATTGCATAAGCTCTCTTCTACAAGGAGAAAAGGAAGTTGAGAGATACAAGTTACATGTTTGGTTCCTTTCTTTTCTTTTTTTCCAAAAAATCCTGTGTGATATGTACGGCGGAGTACTGGCGTTATCGACACGTGCATGCTATTCGGAAGAGATTGAATGCGGCTATATTGAAGTATGCAACTGTTCTCAATCCAGGGCTGACATTAATTTTCTAAATCCTTCTCCTCCTAATCATTGGGCAACCCTGTAACCCCATGGGAATACGGCGTTTGAGGTCTGTAGCCTTTTTCAGCTGATATTGCTCGACTACGGCTTGACATGCTGAACGTCTGACCTAGGTATCACAGTCGACGCAGCTTCATGATGTCATCGATGTTCATGGTCTCAGTATCATCGACTGAGGGATAAAACACAAACACCCATGATCTGATTTGTTAGTAAGCCATGTCAGGTTGACGCAATTGAGTCACCTGTTTGGATTTCTAACAATGACTGGTAAATTGTAGGTTATTATTCACATGGGAAGAGCTTTACACTTTATCGAAGTGTGCAATATGTGGGAAATGCAATCTTGAAGCTCATAGGTGTTACCATAACCTCATAATTATTTCATTGCTATCCCTTAGATGTATTCTTACTTTGAACAGTCGATGATACTAGGTATTACAAATAAGATTACTACAGCTTTTCGTGTAACTCGATGTAGTTCTAAATCCTCTACTGTCTGTAGCTATCCATCTGCTCGCTGTTTTATCGGCAGCCTTTGCTAATTACCTATACGACAGGTTGGTATCGCACGCCTGAATGAAGCCAACCTCTTCATGCATGGGTGACGTAGGATTTAATACTTATTGACATTTTCATAGTATCAACAATCGATGTCGATCACTGACTGGGATGCTGTACTCATCCGTCGCACTCAATAGTCTTCATAAAGTATGCGTAGTTTAGCACTTGACTCCATCTTGGATTGAATTTCTGTCAACCCTTCTGCAACAAGTGGTATCATTATGAAAGCACTGGCATATGAGTTCTATGATATATATTATACGAGCCAGATTCGCTACTGTTTTTGTGTAACACTGTATTAAAAGTCGTTTTCACTCATCTCTTCGTGATTGTCAGAACAACTTGGATGTGAAAATATTGGAGAACAGGCTTATTTTATATTAACTTTCTCGGAGGACATCACTTGTCCTCATAAGGAAAAAAAATAGCAGCATACAAATGTATGTTGGTCACCGTAACCTGAAGACTGCCACAGGACGTGACTCTCCTACCACTAAGAATTGACACAATTGTGGATACTTTAATTTTTATTAGCTCTAGTTTGTATCTGCTGAGTGTTAGCCGGTAGAATTGCGGTTGGAAAGTCGTCGACAGTTGCATGTGAGACGCTCAGAATACGACTTTCAGTAGGTATTGGTCACATTTTATCTTGTGTTAGCGTCATTTATTTGAGAAATAGGACAACCTTTGCTGTTAAACCATTAGGGTTTCTAGTGAGCAATCTAGATTCGATTTGATCTCGAATTCACGAACATCTTTGTTGGTTGATGTGAAGAATTTTCAAGTATCTTCACTGAATTTGACTTTGATCTATCCCTAAGTTTAGATGGAGACAGTATATGCGGTATAATAAAAACCAGGTTGTTGTTGATACGCACAGTCGATTGTACTGTATTCAGTTAGAGCCACAGGCACTTGCAAGGTTTCTCATTCAAGATTTCATTTGTAACTAGTTTTATCTTACTAACTACTCTGCCGAGTGGTCCACGATGTACTTTTTGAAGGTATATGGCAGGGATAATCTGTAGGTTGAAGGTTTTGCATCCTTAAGCGAGCTAATATTCTCGGACTCTTATAGTTTGGTTGCACATTTAAGTTTTTAGTCGAGATGAATTCAGTCATTGGGAACTGTTGTATATACGCCTTTTTATCCATTGATTTATATGTGGTCAGTCTAATTGGCACCTACCGTACTGAGTTCACGAATGTATGTACTAGGTGGTGGATAAATGAAGTCCATAATCATGTCAGGCGGTGACTCGTCCAGTATGCAGACTTATAAGTAAAGTGATACGGCTATTCAGAGTAATGCAGATAAAAGGTATTGCATTCATTTAGCTTTGGATAGTGTTAACAACAGCGTGTCTGTTGTTAGAAGTGTCAATTCTCCACTCATAGGTGCACCTAGTGAAGGCGTAGCTTTTTCGCCTTCACTGTTTCAGCTGGAAATTTCACATGATTTCGCAGTCATGTGGGACCTCCATGTATGAACAGAGCTTAGTAGTGGAGTTTTAAATGTCGACTATCTGTTAATGCAGAATTTGTAGGTATAATTCTACCCAGATGTATTACAAGTTCGACCCCGATGTATGCAGTGAAATGGGAGTTGTACTGCCTTTTAACCACTTCACTAATTTATAGGAAGTTGCATCAACTCAGATTGCTGACGAAATCTCAGCATGGGCATAAAAGGCTGGCGTGGCATTTGTCAGTTTAGGTCGCCTCCAAAGCCTCAGGATGGTCGGGAGTGGGTGCCTTGCGCTGCGGGTTGGCCACCCCTCCGCACACCTCTTGAAATGCTCCCATATGACCGGGCGTCTTACATAGCCTCTCCTGAGGAAGTCCTACTCACTGCCTTCACGTGGCGGAGGTGTTTTTCACCAAAATGAGAGGGTGAAAGCGGATGCCCGGCGCTCTTCACCGGGTTGACTGTCCATTGGATGACAGTCTAGGGGAGATGGCTAAACCCTGACTCCAAACCTCCAATGACTGGCGTATGAAGCTCACTGGAGCTCACCGGCAGACGTATGGACAAAGGGCTTGTTGGATGTCTGGCCCCATTCAAAAAGGCGTATGAACCGAACTCCGGTCACCGGCTGCCAATGGATAGTGGACTCCCTACTCCACTCCTACTGCCTTGTAGGTCACACTTGGTTGTGTAAAGGCTAGAGCTGCACTCTCAAACAAAAGTCCGAGCGATTCTGGGGACATCACTCGTACCAAATTCCCATGAAACTTCATGAACTCTCTTCATCAGATCGCCGCACCTGGGCAGCGATGATTCGAGATGTTCATGAAGCCGGCTCATCCTCCCGTAGGAGATAGCCGAAGTAAAGTAAAGTAGTCTCTGGTGTGGACTTGATATCAGTCTAACGATTAAAGGATGTGTGTGGTGTGCGGTGGCTCGCTCTGTCTTTCTTGATGGCTGTGAGACATGACCTTTGAAAGTGGAGGGTATGGGAATGTTATTTGTCTTTGTCTACAGACGTTTGCATCCTGTACATGTTAAGTGATAAAATATGAGTATGATTAAGGTTAAGCGTGCAGTGCGCTATGTAATGAAACGAAGTCAATCGATGAGGTGAAAGTTAATTGACTGAGGGGACTAGAACACAAATCACTCATACCGAGTCGTCGGCTTCCTCGACGAGTTATATTATGTTGGTAAAGGATTAGGCGTGGTCATACCGTAGCTACTTATCGATCCATGAGTGTCTTCTACAAGACTAAACAAACTAGTTTCTAGTGGTTATCTTATTGATTTCGGCTTGTGGAGCGAGATTTACACTAAAATTGACTAAGATTTATTGCTCAAGGTTGGAAGTTACAAGAAATCGATATGTGATTGTAAAGAATTTGTAAATGTTGACCGAATAAAACAGTCGAATAAAAACAATGAGAAGTGTAAAGAGTTTCATACCAATGAATATAAGGTAAAGCTTTAGTTATTTGGGACGAAATAGAAAGGTTTCCAAAATGAAATCGGGATTTGTTACTTCATTATTAAAGAAAAAGCTGCTAAGTGGAGCTGTTTTGTCAAATATATACCTCTCTAAATAGTGAAGATCACTTTTAACCTTTGGATCGCGCATCAGCCTGGGGAAATTTAGTCTGTTTTAATTATTAATTAATCTGGCATACTGAATAGTTAGGATTTGTTGCCTCGCCTCATTGTAGCGTTGAACGATGGTCATTTTGTCCACATGAAAAGCACTGGATATTTACGTGTTAAAATACTTTGAGTATGTTTGGAAAGCGAATTAAACCCTCTGTGTGTGGTGTTATGGTTGATC